AAATCAGAGAAATATTTGACAGAATGAGTCAGAAATAGGATATGCCCAAACTCTCATGAAACATAAGGAAAGAGAAGTACAGTAAAGCTGAGACTAGAGTACAGTAGAGAGACAGTAGAGAAGATAATACAGTAGAGTAGGGTACAGTAGAGAGAGAAAGAAGAGAAGGTACACAGTAGAATATAGTAGAAATTTCATTAGAGAAGACAGTATAATAAAGTTGATTTTAGTATAGACCAGTACAATACAGATTGGTGCAGTTGAGTTCACTTGAGTTAGTGCAGTCAGTCAGTTCTGGCAGTTCAGTGCAGTTCAGTTGAGTTCAATGAGTTTGTTCATGAGTTTCTTGAGTTTGTTCATTGAGTTGAGTTCGGTCAGTTCAATTCAGAGGCAGGTTGCAACCAGAGAATGAGAAGGAACCAGCAGATTAGAACAGAATTCCAGAGTTAGTTTGAGGCCAAGCAGAGTACTTCAGTGAGAAGCTGAGAGAAGCCAGATTGAATAAGTCAGCTTGGGGAGGAGTTTGAACCAAAACAGCTGAGTCGAACCAGCTGGCCAGAGTTCAGAAAGAACTAGAGAATGTGATCTCATTCAGCAGTATGCCTCCAAGATGACAATTGCAAAGGGCAAATAAAAGTTATTTTTGGCTCAGCAGTTAAGAATACTGTCTGTTCTTCCAGAGTTCAATTCCTGGCAACCACATAGTGGCTCACAACCATCTATAATGTGATCTGCTACCCTCTTCTGGCATGCAGGTATACATGCAGACTGAGCACTCATAGACACAATAAGTAAGTAAGTAAGTAAATAAATAAATAAATAATTTTGTAGAGTTACTTCTACAGTGAACCAACCATTTCATTGAACCCACTTAAAGGCATATAGGAAAGGAGTTACTTATGGGAACTGGGCTGACTTAAAGGCCGCTGAATCACCAAAGTCTACCCAGGGTGGATGGTAACTGGTAAAAGCTGAATTCCTGCTCAAGGCTCAGGCAGCCCCATGGGCGACGCTCTTCTTCCAGTGACTATATACTGGCTGTGTAACTTTAGGAAGGGCCTTTTGAATCTTGTTGCTTTCTGATGTTCCTTGTATGTGTCAACACTTCATCCTCCGGAGTTTCATGACATTCTCCCTGGAAGAATTAGCCACACAGCTGTGGTTTAACTCTGTTCAGACCACTAATATGTCCTGTAATTTCTGGGTTTTGGGTTTTTTTTTTTGTTATTGTTGTTGTTTTAAGTTTTAAAATCCTGTCCTGTGCTTAGAATGGGCAAAGTTCTCTAGGAGGTTTATTAAGTACTTCAGCTATGATCTCCAAAAGACTAAAAGTTACTTTAATTTGGTAGGTCTCTATGTCTCTCTGTCTCTGTATCTCTCTCTGTCTCTCTCTCTCTTTCTCACACACACACATACACACCAGGAGAGTGCAAAAAATGATCTGTTTTCTGATTCTACCCCCCACCCCCCGTCCTATTCAATTTTAGCATTTGACTAAATGCTAGAAGAGCAATCTTATATAGAGGTCCTCCAAGCTTCCAGCTTTTTCATCCAGTTTTTATTGCTTTACTAAAAGCCTTCATGGCTTTGCTGTCCTTAAGCAGATACTCAAATTCTCTGACATTCAGCATGTCCCCAGAGAAGAGAGAGTTGCTGATGATTAGTTCTAGAAGTTTCCACTTGCACAAATCTTAGTCTTTGAGTTCAAATGGCTTCTGTAGTAGAGGGTCCCATTCACAGACATAAGGGTACACTTACAAATTTATTGCTTGTTTTTGTGGAGTACATTTCTGCTGGACATGACTCCATCTTTCTCTCAAATTTGCACTTAAACCAAAATAATTTTCCTAGTTTCTAATACGCTTTTATACCCAAGAATTGTCATGATTATTATGGAAAACTGAAAAATATAAATAAGAAAACGAGAAAGGTACATTTGTTCATAAACACACGATTTTGGATATCTATAACTATATATCACGTAAACTTCAACCTCACAGACTTGAAAAACCATTTTTCTTCTTTGCACGATTTTGTGGGTCTGAAATGTCAGGTTGTGTGATTTGTCTATGGAAATGTATTGTAATTCCCAAGGGAATATATGTCTATTTCTTCCCTCTCCAACCTAATTCTTTTGTGAGATTTGTTTTTCTTTTCTTTTCTTTTTTTCTTATGTGGTAACACGCTCTCTCAGGCTCTTTAAGTGACTTGAACTTTTGACAGTGTGTCAGTATATATTTATGCTTTCTCACATAGTAACTCAGGGCTCCATAGGACAAAAAAAAAGAAGTTGACAATCCTTTTGATGATGAGAGAGAGTGGGAGGGAGGGAGTGACATTCATGGGACAGCCAGTTTAGTAAGAGGAGAAGAGCCCACTTTTTCATAAGAAGTGTAATCAGTTTTCAACTGCCTTTAATCTGCTGTGCATAGCTAAGAGAATTGATTATGATCTCTTGGCATTAGTACAACAAAGTGCCTGTGGTGGACTAATTTTTACAAAGAAAAGCTATTTAGCTTAGAGTTTTAGAGACAGAAAGACACAGCCCTTAAGAACCTTTTCCAGAAGGCCCCACCTACTTGAATCATAGAATAAGAAGAAATCAAATTTGTACTGACCTGGAAGGAAGCTTCATCCCAACTGTCTAGCTTTCTTTGCCTAAAAGATGCTATGTAGGTCATCAGAGAAGAAAAGTAATCATTAGTATTACCCAGTTGTCAACCCTAGAAGCCATCATAATGACTGACCTGACAAGACATGCTTACCGGTGCAGTAGCACCATGAACACCAACCACCTTCTGATTGGACTTAAGTCTCACTCCACAATTTAAAACCCATGCTTATCACCATTATTGGGTCATGAAACCTGTGCCTTGACAGGTCCTAGGCCCTAGGGGAGAATCTATTTCTATTATTTTACTGAATGGACTTACAATTATACCCATAGATAATAAATCTCTCAGCCCTCAGCAGAAAAGCTCCTATCTGCAACATATAGTGATTAGTGTAGCAGAGAGATCTATAACTGGTGAACATGCAGAGACTAAGACAATGGAGAATTATCAACCGGAAGTGGAACAATACACTCCACTTTTTCCTCCCAAGGTTTCAGGGAGCATTGCGGAAGAAGAGGCAGAAAGAGTTTAGAGACAGGGTGGTATGGTAGATGACTACAAGAAAACAGCACTCCTGGATACAGTAGGGCAGCTGTTCATATGAACCCACAGTGGGGATGGTAAAATTCAAACACCTGTGCAAGCCCATGCCAGACAAAAGCCAAGCAAGGAGCAGTGAGTTGCTCACATCATCACTCCCCCAACTGAGGACCCGTTGGCAACTGTTATCTGCTTAGAAAGGAAGGACCTGTCTTCTCTTGAGAATGTAGTCCCTAACAGTCACCCATGTGTCACTGTAAGGGCACACATCTAAGGATAGTTAGGAAGTACAAATTGATTTTGATCAAAACACAAAACAAAGCAAAGTAAGAAACACACAAATGAATGAAGAGGTAAGGGGGGTAGATATAGCAAGAGTATGGAAAGAGGACGAATAGGATCAAAACACAATTCTTGAAGAACTATAGCAATAATTAAACCAGAAAGGCATGGGGTTACAATAGCAGCAGCTTGGAGGAAGAGGTCAAGGGCAGAGGGCGACTTAGGGTTTGTACTCTTTATTGCCCATGGAAGCGTGTTCAAAATAAGCCAAGTGTTCAAAAAAAGCCTCCACAGGCATTTAACAGGCCAACCTAAACAGATGATCCTCAGTGAGATTCCTTTCCCAGTTCATTTCTAGGTTGTCAGGGTGACAACTAAAGTTAACCAGGCAGGTTTCTTGTAACACTTGTCATGAGAACTTTAGGCCCTGTGATGATTGCCTTTGGAGGACAGCACCCTCCACGACATAACAACTTTCCACTACACCCCTTCTTTCAAAGTACACTGAGCATGATGTTGAAGCACATAAACTCTTGGAGGAGAAACTACACTCAAACCATAGCCATCATTATAACACTTTAGGTTAAGATCTATGAATGTAACCAAGGTGCTCTTCAAAACATTCTTTCATTTTAAAACATATGTTCATTTAATTATGCACATTAAACACAAATACATGTTTGTTAGCGGAAAATAAAAAATGATAGAGAAGTGTATACGAAAAAAAAACTTCCTCTAGGATGCTTTCCCCCATCACTGATTTCTGATATTAAAAGTAGTTAATAGCATCTAGGCATGGTAGTACACGCCTTTAATTCCAGCACTCTAGGAGGCAGAGGTAGGCAGATCTCTGTGAGTTTGAGGCCAGCCTAGTCTACAAAGTGAGTCCAGAATAGCTAGGGATATTACACAGAGAAAGTTTGTCTCAAAAAAAACAAACCAAACCTATATATATAAATGTGAATATATATATTTATATATAAATTTATATTCATATATAGTTTATATATTTATATAGTTTATATATACATTTATATAGTTTATATATACACACATTTATATAGTTTATATATACATATATATGTATATATACTTATACACACATACATGTATGTATGTACATATATTTATTTAATAGCTTCCTGTGCATCCATCTACAACTCATATATAAATTTATGTGTCTGTGTATTTCTTACCATGTTACATTTGTTCCTGACATATTTGGTACTAGATATGATACATGCATGCAGAAAACACATTCAAAACAAATGACAGTAAGAACAATAAGGACTGCCCCCAGTTATCAAGTTTATTTTGTCATCCTTTTTCCAACAATAACTTGATTAAACTTAAATGCTTTGAGCAGAGACTGATTCCATTTCGGGGAGAGCATTTTGCTTACCACCAATCATAGGTCTATATTGCATGTCAGAGGATGTCTGTGGGAGGACAATGTGTCTCAAATAAGGTGAATGTAAACAGGCTTGACTTCACATCTAAGTGCCATTTATAAGCATTTAGTGTTAAATATTTCCCTTAAAAACAGTGATCCCCTCACCCCTGAGCCCCGGCAATGGACAAAGAGCTACCATGTTGGTGGTGGTGTTCTTGTACGAGTCAAGGGCAGAGAAGATGGCAGTCTCCTTTGTTCATCCAAGTTAATGCCTGGCTTGGTGGCCAAAGCTGTTTTATGTTTAGGACACATAAAACTCAACTCAAATCAAGTCAAATCCAGGTAGCACAGCACTGGAGAAGGTAGAATGACAGAGACCTGCATTCTGCCATACCGCTCAGTGCATGCTGGAAAAAATGCCCACAGACCTGCCCTCTGGGCCAGAGCACAGGCAGGCCATGGACAGCCATTAGCAAGAAGAGGTCACCCTGGTCCCCACGTGCCAAGTGGCCAGCCTGCAGTGGGTGCCATCAGTGTGCAATTATGTGGTAGACAGATGGGAGAGAAAGAGAAGTGGAGAAGCTTGAGCATGATGAAGAGAGCTAGAACTGGAGCATCAAGGGTGGAGAGGAGTAGCCTGTTGTGAGTGGTCAGCGGCACCATCTGGAGCCATGGTAAGGTCCCAGCCTGAACTGTTGCTGAGGGCTGTGTCTGCGTCTGTGGCTATGCAGTAGCAAGGGTCATGTAGATGTCTGTGGCTCATATTACCACTAGAGAGCACAGGGACATCCCTGGTTAGGGTAGCCACTGGGGACCACATGGTTGTCTGGGCCTCAGTGGTGTCTGAGCTGGTCAGTGTGCAGTCGCTCCCTTATCTGCATCACGAGGGTGGGTGACTTCCCCAGCACTGCTCCTGCTAGAACACCCAATGCTGCCATTGGCAGGAGCCAGGGTCAGCTCTCCTGTTCCCATGCTCTTGGGGCCAGCTCACCTACACCCATGCTTCCAGAGCCAGCTCCACTCCAGGCAATGCCTAAGGCTCACTCTCCCAAGTGTCACAGCCAGACGGGCTAGCTCAGCCCTGCCCTGGTTCAGAATTGGCCCTGCCCCTCTCTGGCTGTGGCACTCTGGGAAGGTGGCATCACCTCTTACTGGCAGCAGAACTCCAGATAGCCAACCCTGCACCTCACCTGAGCAGCATGGTAGAGCTGACAGCTGTAGCACTTGGGAGCCCAAAGCCGGCACCTCACTAACCCTGCTTGAGGGGGCACTAGTGAGCTAGCCCAAGGGCAAGAGAAAGGGAGAGCTGGTCCCACTACTCATCTGCTGTGAGGAGGTGTGGATGAGGAGGTGATGCTTTCCCTATGTGCCTGGCCACCTGTGTTAGGTCGTTGGGAGAACTGGCCTTGAGGGCATGAGAGTAGGAGATCTAACCTTGCCTCTCACTGGCTGCTGCACTTGGGAGAGCAGGTCCTGTCCCTTGCCTGGACAACACAGTGGAGTTGGCCCTGAGGGTGAAGGCAGGGCTGAGCTAGCCCGTCTGGCTGTGACACTTGAGAGAGTGAGCCTTAGGCATTGCCTGGAGTGGAGCTGGCTCTGGAAGCATGGGTGTAGGTGAGCTGGCCCCAAGAGCATGGGAACAGGAGAGCTGACCCTGGCTCCTGCCAATGGCAGCATTGGGTGTTCTAGCAGAAGCAGTGCTGGGGAAATCACCCACCCTCGTGATGCAGATAAGGGAGTGACTGCACACTGACCAGCTCAGACACCACTCAGGCCCAGTTCCAGGGCTCCGGGTTGGCCTACCCCCAAATCTATATCATCTGCAGATGGCTGGGATGTGCGAAAGGGCCACTCCTGCTGATCAGAAGCTGAGGGATCGCCATGACATATGGGAACAACAGGGCAACTGGGAAGAGTCCTGGTGAGGATGAAATATTGACAGTGTCACAGAAGCCAGAGATCTCGGACCAGACCAAAGACCCATTGCAATGAACACTGTGACATACTACAGCTTCCACGATGGGATGGTTTTTTATTCTTCTCTTTCTTCCTTTCTTCCTTCCCTTCTTCCTTCCTTTCTTCCTTCCTTCCTTCCTTCCTTCCTTCCTTCCTTCCTTCCTTCCTTCCTT